TGCAGCTGCGAAGGCCCCAAATCTCTTCGAGTTAGTGCCGTGCCTAGTGTGCCCGGGCTGCGCTGGCGACGAGCCGTGATCTTTTATACAACCCTAAACAACAAATTGGTCGGCGATTTGCCCACTCAGTGCCGAGACGTGTGCAAGTCTTGACCGTATAAAAAAACCAAAGTTCTACCAACGCCGTCGGGCAAACTGTTCTCGCTTGCCTCCATCTCCGAATCCTCTGGGCAACTGATCAGCCTCAGGGCGACAAACGTGTCCAGGATGTGCGGCGTCATGAGCCGATGGCGCGGCGTAGGGAACCCGATGTGCTCCAAGAACACTGGGGACACTCTCCCGTAGGGCCGCTCGTCGGTCTCCTCGATGATGCCACGCACTGCTTCCTTCGCCGTCTCAGCGAGCGAGGAACGCAAGCGCCTTCTGCAAGTTCAGCTGGTGCAAGTCAAGGTTGTGTCGGAGCACGGCCTTCTTACCTTTTCCTTTGGCCTTCTTGCCTTTTCCTTTGGCCTTCTTGCCTTTTCCTTTGGCCTTGCCTTTGGCCTTAGCCTTCAGTCGGATTCTGCAATTCTTCTGTGGCAAGCAGGACTTTCAGTCAGGGCCACCAGTGTGAAGCCAGAAGCCTGTGATCGCGTCGGACCAGGACCAGCGTCGGAAGCTAGCAAGCAAGAAACTGGCAAACCTCACTGCTTGAGGCGGACAAAAGGCATGTGCCACGATTGCGCTCGCGGCACCAACTTCACGTGAGCGCTGTGGGTGGAAATAGATGCCATGGGAAGGCAAGAAAGGCAAAACGAAAACCGAAAAAGGGGATCCAGGAAAAGGGTCTTGGAACCAACCATCGTGGACACCGACTTGGAAAGGTTCAAGCCAGCAACAAGGCAACCCCAAGAGAGGGAGTAGCAACAAAGGTGAGAAAGGCAAACAAGCAGGTAAAGGAGAGGATTGGAAAGGCAAAGGTTCTGGAGAAAGGAAGGAGCACCAACCTGCATGCAGGAAAACAATGTCCGCGACAGGGTAGAGCGCTTGATCTATGCAGATTTCCTGTTCTTCAACAACAAAGGTGAGGAGGTACATGTTGCAGATGTAGGTGAGGCAACGCGAGCGGACAGAGGTGCGTTGACCACAGTACTGACAGCCATTGATGCCCGTTGGCCATTTGCGGCCGTAGTTCTAAAGCTGAAGACAGTTGCTCGGTGAAAACATTTGAAAACTGGTTGTTGCGATTAGGTTGGAAAGAATTCACAGTTCAAAAAGACCAAGAGCCTGCGATCAAACGGTTGGCAAAAATTGTTCAATCAAGAATTGGCCATGATACAATGCATTTGCGACAAAGTGCGACAAAGCCCCCGCTATTCGCCCCAGTCGTTGACTGCAGGTGAGACGGCGAACCAACAAGTTGCAGGAAGGGTGCGAACTTGGACGAGCGTCCTCTGCGAACAATACGAAATTGAAATTTCCAGCGCTCATCTTTTGTTTGCGTGGATTGTGAGGCATATTGCGTGGTAAGTAATGGCTAGGTTGCACGTGAACACTAGCAAAACAACTCCTTTTTGGATCGTCCGAGGTCATGATTTTTCGGGGGAATTGTTGTTTTTGGGGAGTGTGTTCAAGCAAAATGGCCAAACACAAAAGACTTGGGCAAGGGGAGCGTTCGGTGGATGAAGGGTGTCTTTGTAGGCAAGACAGAAGATTCTGATGAGTTTGTTGCGCTTGCGCCTGCTGGTGCTCACACTTACCGAACAGTGCGTCGGATTCCTGAAGAGCAAAGACATGCAATTGCATGTTTGGAGTTGTGTGCTGGACTGCCGTGGGACACAAAGGAAGGCAGTACCAAAGCCCAACCGGCAGCTGTGCAAAGCAAACCACAAGCCGTAGCAGTCCCGAATGTTGACCATGAACGCGAAGAAATACCGAGCATCCCAAGCGAAACTGTGGGTTTTGAACTGCGTGACCTCATGCCAAGCCCGGCGCCAGCAAGCCCCCTTCCAAACCGCGAACAAATGAAATGCGCAGCTGAGACAGGCGCAGCAGACGAAACACGCAAAAAACCAAAACCCGCAATTGACAAATTGCACACTGACAGCATGCCACCTGCGACAGCCCCAGGGCAAGCCGCGAGCACAGGACCGCAACCTGAACGATTTGACATTAGCGCATCTAGAGCAACGGAAAGTGACAATTGCGCCACTTCACCAGCAAGATCGCGAAGCAGATCGCCCCGGGATGCCCCAGGCGAGGCGGACCCCCACGCAGGGGGGGCGGCGGTTGACCAAACAGTTTCTGCGATTAAGGAAACTTTGTTGAATCAGTTCGTTGAATGTGGCGATCCAACTTCCGGAAATTCAATGTGTGATGTGGTCGATTTTTTTGGACACTTGTCTCACACCAGAAGAGCGGTACGTTGCGCGTTTGCAGGAAATAAGGAAATTTAGAAGAAGTGTTCAAAGCTTTTACACCTAGCGATTTGCGCGCGTTGCCTTCACACATTCGCGTCTTCAACCATGTTTGGGTGGACAAGAAATGTCATGGTGTGGAAAAATCTAGGCTGACATGCGCAGACGTGAAGCAGAAGCAAAACCCTCAAGAAAGATTGAGCTCTGAAGGCCCATCAAATTTCTGTCCGACTCCACACCCAGCTTCGTTGAAACTGTTGGAAGTGTATTCCTTGTCGCACAAGTGTCCATGCGTCAAAGCCGATCTCACAAGTGCTTTCCTGATTGTTCGTGACAGTGGTGATGACCAAGGACAACCTACTTGTTTGCGATCCCCAAAGGAATGGTTGCATCAGTTTGAGACGTGGTTGGTAGAGCAGAATGGACAGACTCGCAAAGAGCTAGGGAACGTGCCGCAGGACAAGATTGTGTGGCAAGTTGATGGCAACATTTACAGCAGACAGCCAGCAGCTGCCGCATACAGGCAAGAACTGAAAAACATCTTGTTGCAAAAGTTGGACCGAACAAAATTTTGCTTTACGCGCGGCCAAGTGGACGCATGCGTGTACCACTGCAGTGTCACAGGCATCGTTCTTGTTCATCACATTGATGATTTTGATGCTTGTAGTCCTGCGGAGAGCGTGAAAGAATTGTTGGAGGCGCAGCTTCCAAAGTTCGGTTGCAAGCTGAAGACGGGTGATTTGAAGGCTTAGAGGATGACATTGGAACCTCTTCCGAATACCTTGGCAGGGAGAAATACCCGGTCGATGCCAGTGTGGTCGCAAAGCCAAACGACAAACACATAGAACACATATTGAAGAAACTTGGCATGGAAAACGCTAAGCCTTGCGCGCTGCCGGGTGGGAAATGGATTTGTCAACAGCTGGAAACATGGAATTTGTCAGTGAAAAGGACAAAGAAACATATGCTTCACGCGTAGGGCCAGCGATCTACTTGAGCCAAGACCGTGCAGATTTGAAGTTTGCAGTGAAAGAACTCGCTAGGCATTTGCACGCACATCGACGTTGCGACTTCCAAAACTTACTTGAAATTGTTTGCACGGTATTTGGTCGGAACAAAGCATTATGGGCGTGTCAGCAAGTTAGCTGAAGGGATTGGTCTAGATGATCCACTTCCGTTACATGCCTACACAGACAGTGACTGGGCAGGTTCCGCGGAAACGCATAGGAGCAGTTCAGGTGAGGCGATTGTTCTTGCAGGTGCTGTTGTGGAAACAAGTAGCATCACACAACCAGGTGTCCCAGCAACCAGCTCAGGTGAAGCAGAGCTGCGCGCACTGACACGTTGTGGGCAGAGTGCGGTGTACGCGCGTAATTTGGCGCAAAATGATTCCAAACTCGAAATTGACACTCCGAGAATGTGTGATTCTTCCGCGGCATTGCAAGCAGCAAAACGCATCGGCATGGGCAAGATGCGGCGTGTAACTGTAGGAGACATGTACATCCAAGAGCTTGTTCTAACCAAGCAGGTCATCATAGGTAAGATTGACGGCAAGGCAAACCCTGCAAACACTTTGACAAAGCATTTGGCAACAGCGAGCGAAATGCTGGAATCTTTGGAAGGCTTAGGTGTTGTGGATTTGACAAACAAGGGTTTTGAAGAGCGTGTGCGACGTACAAAGCTTAAGGCTGTTTCCAGCGTAGGCTTCAGAAAGCGGAAACCTTTGCAGGCATCACAGTTGTCACTTAGGCTGTCTGCGGCGACGAAAAATTTTGCCCAGAGACTTGTAGGAGACAGCGCTGAGCTAGCGCATCTAGTTAAAGGACAAACATACCATGAAAGGGTTTGCACCGAGACGAGCTTGAACTCAGACTCCGTAGTGTGAGGGCTAGCTTTGTGTACTCAGTTGAGCTTCTTTTCCTTGACTAGTGACAGTCCAAATGTAGCCCAGTGCTGGGAGCCCCTTGATCAAAACGGTCTTGTTAGTTAGCCTGAGTTAGCTCCAGAGAGCGCAACCTTGCGTCGGTCATATCCATGTGATTGACTCTTCGGGAAGGGCCAGCGCTGGCATCGTGGAGACCAGGTCCTCTTGCCCGGAAAAGGTCCTCTTCTTGCTCAAATCCAGTGTGGTGAAGGTCTTCTTGATCAGATCGTACGCCTGCGCTGTGCTTGGGGCCAGCTGCATCATCACGGCTGGGTCTGTGCAGCAGTTGTGGATTTAGATCCATCCACTCAATGTATCGAGCAGCAAGTGAACCTACAAAGGATTGCATCGTGTCATCACGAATCTCCCGCAAGAGCGTTGGATCCACCGGGCGCTTGCTTGGAACCCTTTGGGTCGTCGTCTTTCTGGTTGCCCCCGAGAAAGTTGGCCAAGTAAACTTGTTTCGTACACTCGTTTCCGACATTTGGGCAATTGACAGGTTTTGGCTCGTGATCTTGATTTGTGGCGTGGATTGCTGGATGACTTTTGCATGTTTTGTGGTTATGGATGAAGTGCCATCGTAATATAGATAATCCTTTCTGGTTGGCTTCACTTGTATCACCTGCGCCCAAAGGGGCTGCCGACAGGCTTGCAGGTTCAAAGTCAGAGTCATCACCCATCTATTGCCGTTCCGAAGAGGATTGTCGATCTGGCTGCACTTTCTGCTCTTTCAACTGCTGTAGCAAAGCATAGTCTTCGGCCGAGGTTTCGATTTTAGCAGGCGGCTCTGCCTTCTCGGCGGCCTGTTCGGAATCATGGGGGTGACTTATACCCATGGCTCAATCGGGCACCATGAAAGCAGATGAAACAGTGCCAAGTGAAAAACATTACATTGGGAAAACACCCCTCAAAGCATGAGTTATCATGTCCTTTTCTGAATGCACACGCCAACGACATTCGTGATCGAAACGGGAAGCAGCGAAGCTTCGTGCCAAATGCCTGGTCCGCCAGCACTCTAGAGGAAAACAGGCCTTTGAAAGCAATGAAGACAAGCAAGTAAATAGAAAACACACTGAAAATTTTAGGCTTTGAAGTCACTTTTTGAAAAAAGTCTAGATGTTCAACATCGAAAAAGCCAAGTTCTCAAAGTTGCTTGTATTTGTTCTTTTTGCAACAAAAACTTGCACCACATACTAATTTGCCTTCCCTTTGAAAATAGAATCTAAGTCTAAGTTGCTTAAATTAGCTTAAGAACTTACAGAACTTGTCAAACGTGAAGGTATGTTATCAATATTTTACAACTAATTTATAGACAATAATTTCCATAGCCAACCATGCACCAAGTAGAGGGCCGGCATCAGTGGGCCCCTTGCTCCCCGCACCCCTGCGCGATTTCGTGAGCCGCGCCATTATATAAGCGCCATAGAAGATGTAGGCGCTAGGCCCCGCCTTAAAACTGCGCGACGTACGGAAGGAGGGGCGCGACCCGTTCGTCTTGCAGGCCTTGCAACATGCAGGCCCAGGAGATGTGATCGTAAATGATCGTAAGCCCCCACGGATGCTCAGCACGGATGTGCGCGGGTCCAGCTCAGTGGCCAGCCGCACCCCTCGTGCGAGTGATTCCGCACCAGCTCGGGCTGCCAGGGCGTATTGGAAGGGGGCCGAAACGGCCGCGAACTCGCCCGCGAACTGTTGGGCGAGCGACAAGGCGGCGGAAGGTGTCGCCCATGACGAGGCCCCGCACGCCGCCGGCGGGCTTCTGCAAGGCAAATCGTCGAGCAACACCCGCAAGTCCTCAGGGGTGTGCTGCACGACCGTGGGCACGGCCTCGCGCCCGACACACGCTACCACGTTCCACAGACGATGGTCGTGGCCAACATGGGGGCGAGGAAGGGCACTTTTGCAAAGGGCACTTGTTTAAGTTTTTCGCAGGCAGCAGCAAGCTCGAGGTGAAAACGGGGAAGGCCGGGCGCGTCAGCGAGCGCGACCTCGCCCTCAACCGCGCAGGTGAGGGGCGGGGAGACCCAAGGCCCGCCAAGCAGAGTAGCGCCGAGGGCGCGCCGGACAGCGATGCTCAGGATCCCCCACCAGCGCCGGTATGCTTCATAAACGCTTATGTTTGGAAGGCTGAAGGCAAATCTGAGTTTCAACCGCATAAGTGAGTTTCAACCGCATAAGCATGAGAATCATGAAATGGTAGAGCTCCAACGATTGGTGGGCCCACATGGGCAGCCTTCCATCCATGATGCCTTCAGCGTGCCATGTAATTACACTGCGACGCAAAAACACTTCCACCATCTTCCACCTAGGACCTGGCGCCCTCCCGCAATGCACGAAGTCCCGGCTGCGAACTGCCCAGCAAGGTAGGTGGCTATAAAAAGAAATATAGAATGCCATACATGAGAATTTTATCGGCATGTGGCATGCGCACAACCTTCCACTTCCCAGTGGAAATGCACAACTCACCATAGAAATGTGAGGCCAAATTGAGCCATGTATCTATATGCACCCTTGGCGAAACTATGCGTACATTGTTCGCACCCTCAAGTTCTATAGTCCCCTTGAAACTGCGAGCCCAAGCCAGTGTGGCGCTTCCAGGAAAAAAATACAATCCTAGCGAAATTCTGCACTTAGTTTTCGCAATTGCACTACCAGATGCATCACTATGCCACCACCTCGTTCGTGGTGTCTAGCCGAGCCAAAAGGCACAACGGCTTCAAGGATGACGAGAAACACCCTACAAGCATCTGTTTTGCCGATGCGGAGCTGTCATTCAATTGTAAACGGGTGTTGTTGGAAGCACGGTGTACCTGCCACGCGCAATCTCCACTTTCCGCTTTGCTCGATGATATCGGGTGTATGATTTGCGGCAAACGCCCTCAAACCGAGCTGTAAGCTACTGAGCGGGGGGGGAAGCTGGCGAGCTCCAGAAACGGAATCTGAAAGACTGGAATTGAAGCATGCACGCGTTCTGTGTGATAAAGTGCATTGAGCAAGCCTGGCCATGTGGAAGCAGTGTTGGTGAGCTGGCCTTGAGGGATCTCATTTGTGTTTGAAAGTCTTTGCTGTGTGACCCTCTATACATAGCTGTGCTGGCGGTGGGGTAAGTGGGCTGCGCAACGCTCAGCAATCAGGGAGGATGTAAATACACCATATGTCGAGGAATGCCATGTCCTCATGCTTTCGGAATGGGCGTGCAAGGACGAAGGCAGGCCAGAGTAAGGTGGAAGTTGCCACCGAGCCTTGGGAGATCTTTTGGACAAAATTTAAGGCACGTGTTCTTTCGAATGACACAATACAATACACAACTAACGGAAGATAAGCCGGCTCATTTCAGCTTCGGACATATCAGTGAGGTGTTTAATAGTCAGTATGATTGAACAAAAAAACAAGATAAAATGGATGTAATATATAGACTATTATATACCATATTATACTATTATAAAGGGCCTCTTTAAATCAGATCTCTTTAGATGGGGTTTTCTGAAAGAGGCAATCCCTTTACATGTTGTTTAATGTTGTTTATTGCTTTTGTCACATCAAATCACCCACCATTCCTTCCGGTTTTTGCTAGGGCTAGTGAACTAACAGGAAACTGGAATTCGCAAATGCGCGGACATGCGATGTTTCAACGTAGCTGGACGCTCTTCGCTTTGATGTGTTGAGCTGCTCCAGCACGGAGGAGTCACGATGAGAGCCACTAGTAGCGTCTGATCGCTCCTAGTAGCGATGCCCTTTGTTCCTAGTAGTGTCCTTGTTGTAAGGCCAGGAGCTACTAGTAGCGTCCTTTCTAGCTTGGCTTTGGTTTCAGCAATGCCTCCACGACGGTCTGCTTTCCAGTGACGTTGCCTACCGCGGCACATGTCTTTTCTCTCTTTCGTTGGCCTCTATATGGCACGTAGTATTGCTGCGCAAACAGTGAGCCGAAGTCGGCCAAGCACAAAGTAAGAAATGGTGTGCACGACCTGAGTCAATTCCATGAAGACTCTTGGAAGATTGCTCTCAGACTGCCCTTTAAAGATTCATAATAGGCCGTTGAGGCTTCCAACGAAAAAGCAACGCTGACGCAGACATTGGGCAGTGTCCAGCCCTTTCCACGCGAGCGTCTTCCGCCCAAGCGCCACCCAAAAGGCCCAAAAGGAAAGGGCGTTTAAGACCAAACGACGTCTTCTTCTTTCGCGAAGAAGATTTGAAAGGGGTTGCTGGCCACGAAGCATCACGAAGCATCACGAAGCATCACGAAGCATCACGAAGCATCACGAAGCATCACGAAGCATCGCGAAGCATCGCGAAGCATCGCGAAGCATCGCGAAGCATCGCGAAGCATCGCGAAGCATCACGAAGCATCACGAAGCACTGAGCAGGACGGGTCCAGCACAGTGATGACGAAGAACTGGGGCAGTGGGACTAGGCCAAGGGAGTTCGAAGCGGAATTTCAGGCACACGAACTGCTCAAACTTGTTGAAGTATTCAAGCTAATCACAGTGCCAGGTCGGTGCTTCTGTGCATGTTGTTTCAGCTCGCTTCTCAAAGTGGTCTACTACTGTTCGACGCTGAAAACGGTCCATCTTCAAAGTGAACGTTACAGTAAGTGCCCTCACTCTCTGTCACGAGTGTTGAACCAATGTCTTTTCCTCCGTGGCGCTGGTGCACTCAATTGTTGTCTCAACTTCAAAACGAACGAGGGGCGCGCAGTCAGTTCCAAACTCTCCTGTAGTGTGACTGTTCATTTTTGTTTACAGGCTGTGTCGCGCTTGTGCTTGAGGCTGCTGTGGTCCGTGTCCCCTTGTTCACGATTTGAATCCGATGGTGCGTTCATCTTACACCGAGCAAACCCTGTGCCCGACAGCGACACGCAAGCTCTTTTCACCAAGCAAACGTCCAGGCAGTCCTGGCATGTGCCTTGGGCCAATCCGAGGTCACACAGCCACTCTGAACTCTGAGACCATCACCACTACCGTTCATTGAAAGCATGAGAGTATTATACTTTATGCATTGGAAGTTATAGTTAACTACAATTACGTACAATGTATGTATAATTATGTATATATATATATTGTATTGTTTTTGTCATGACAAATGAACCATGCTTGAGGCATTGAAGAAAGATACAGGAGAAAGGCCTTCTGATCTTCATTGTGTACTGCAAACCCCCAAGAGCAACTCTGACCACTCTGCATATTGCAGAAATATAACAGAATCAATTGAATCAATCAATCAAGTCCCAACTCTATCACCACTGCCCCATTGCCGAACACACATAAGGGCATGACGGGGCAGGGGCGCACACCGGTGCCCGAAAGAGAGCCAAGGGATCCGCAAGGCAGGACTGGCAACATTGACAAACAAACACTCTTGCCAGTCGTGTGATGTGCCAAGCTGTCTCAAGCTGCTTGTGGCCGCGCCTCTGGGTGCTCAACCAGACGCTCCAGGAGGACGTCAAAGCTAGAGCCTCAGAAATCCAAGCTTGCAAGTGGAGCACCTTCCTTGTGTGTTCCTTTGAACGGACTTTGCCAGTCCCTGGAACGTGCTCCAGCGTGCCCAAAGTCGCCGGCATTCCGCAACAGGTGTGGTCTTTAATGGGCCAATCTCGCACTGAACCTGAGCGGTCAAGCAAATGTTGGTTGTTGGCTCGGTACAGTTGTGTACTTAAGGCGTCCACCGGAAAGATCATGGCCTGGCTTGCAATGTTGCTGAGTACGGATGGTTTTTTGGGTTTGCAAAGGCATATATGCAAGCAAGCACAAATTGTGATGCTGTGAAAGAAGCCAACATTGTCCAGCGCCACGGTGACTCCATCGGCTAGATCTTCTCGCTCCTTCTGCTGTCTGGGCACACCCCTGGCAAAGTGATCACTTACATGCAGATCCAAAAATAACAAGAAAAGAGCAGTCATAAAAATAGGCACAAAGTCCGTCATGCAGCGGATAGGTGGTCAGCCCTGCCTCGCTGGATCAAGGATATTCGATCGTCCACCGGTCATCTCAGCAAGTCGCCTTCGCCTCTGTTGCATCCCATCCAAGATCTGCAAAAAAACAAGCTACTAGTAACAAGTGCATCGCTAGTAGTAACAAGTGCCTTACTAGTAGTAACAAGAAGCTAGTAGTAACAAGTGCCACGCTTCAAAGATATTAGATTCAATGATATTCCAAGTCCAAAATCCCTCTGTTCATTGCTTTTCATCTCTGACGTTGCTCAGAGCAGACCTGCCCGGAGAATTCCCATCACCTGGGAATGGCCTCAGGCAGGCTTCAAGCACTGAGGGCTTCCGAAAGTGCCAGAAGGTGCAAGAACGACATGATCGATGATGGAACAAAGCTATCGCCGGCAATACGGCTCTAGAGGCAAGTCTGTGCAATCTGAGATTCTAGCAGCAATTGTGCAGGTGCCACAAGAGGCGCACCTCTCTGGAAGTCCTTGAGACATCTTGAGACCAAGTCGTCCAAGACACGAGAAAGGAAGAAAAATGCATCTTCGATTAATCATTGTCAAGACTAACATGGAAGAAGGAAAAACACAAGAAAGCTGCGGTGTAGACCATCTGGGCCTTTACACTGACCATTCGCGGAGAGTTGCCCTCTGCAGTTGCGCTATTTCCTGTGACGAATGCTAGTCTGTGAGCTTTAAGTCTGACCTGGGAGTTGCCTTTGAAAAGGTACCAAGTGCAGCGATAGTCTTGTTTGCAAATGAGATCTGCTAGTCACACAAAAAGCAACAAGGCTTGCAGCACTTGTCATGGCTCTTGTCATCGAATCGGCGAAGAGGCCTGCGGCTGATGTCGCTCGCGGTGATGGAGACCTGACCGTTGCCGAGTCAAAAGCGTGGAAAGCCCACATCAAGGCAGGCCAAATATTAGAATATAAAAGTCTATCTAAATTCTAATTCTAATTATTATTAATTATTTATTGTTTCTAATAGCTTCTTGTTCCTAGTAGCGATGCCAGGAGCCCCTAGTAGCGTCCTTGCGCCTAGCAGCGATGCCCTTTGCTCCTAGGAGCATCCCTCAGTAACTCATCAGTGCGGGATAGGAGAGAAAAACTATCCGATGTCACGTGCCACATCCGATGCCTGGAAGAGCTGGACTGCCTTTCACCTGTTAGTTTTCACTTCGGCTTCCGAAAAGCTGTTCCTCAAAACGCACCTTTCACTGGTAATGCTGCAAGGCCGGACTGGGACGTTTGCAATGCCTGGGCGCAGGCTTCAATTCTAGCCCTAGTCGATGCAGGACCCAGAAAAAGCAAACATCAATAGCATGCAAATAAAACACCATATGTACGTGTTGAAAAAAAATATATATATATATTAATTATATATAGATATACCAAATACAGGTGCAAATATCCGGAAAGTCAAAGCCACAAGCACACCTGTGGCCCGTGCTGCAAACAACTCTCTGGCGGAACCCCGGTATTTTGGTGCTGCCTGCCATGCGGTGCTACCGTTCCACACGCTCGGGTAGCTGCTTAGCTGCTCAGAATAGGGTGCCTGGGATATCTGATGCGGTTGCCTGGGAGATTAGCCAAAAAGCGACCAAAGACCAAACAGCAAAAAATCTGCCCGTCTTGCACCCCAAAGCTGGGCAGTTGGCAGCTGCAGTTGGGCTGGAGCAACTACACCTTGTGAAGCTTCAGAACCGGGACAAAATGCTGCGTGTTCCAACGTAGACAGAGTCTAAGAAAATGCACAATCAATAAGAACATATAAGAACAAGATAAGAACATCCGCTCAAACTCCGCGCCTAAACCAGAGCGTGCAACATCATATGCTTTGGACGGCTTAGACTGGGAACCTGTGGAAAGCGAGGCAGGGTCTCCTTCCCCAAGGTCTACAACTCTGCATCTGAAATCTTGAGAAACGACTTGGGTTCGACGAGGTCTCAATTTGCTCCACTTCGGTTCTGGTTGGACGTTCGAGTTATTCCACGCCTACGGATTTCAGCATTTGGGAGGATTCCATAACCGAAGCTGCCAATGAGCTTGCCGCTCTTTCCAGAAAAATCTGGTGATCCCCACGGACCTTGTGACAAACACTGAATGCTGCGAAAACTGCTGCATTGTGGAGAAAGGACAAACAACCTCTGCAAATCGTCTGTGTCTGGTCTGAGATCTACGACCTCTGAGCCATTGCGGTGAATGCTTTGCAATCTGTCTCCGAGAGGGCGCATGGCGCATGAGGGAGATCTGACAAAGATTCAAGAACTGGCGATAGCAACGCCAGCAGCCGAGTGCTATCATGCAACTGATGTTCAGAGCCTGAAGGGATAGACATTGTGTAAACAGAGTGCGTGTTCGGTTCGTTGTGCCAGTGCGTGCAGGTCAAAGCTGTTTGAATGCGCCTGGAACTGAGCCAGAAGCTGAACAAAAGAAAGAGCCATGGCTTGTCATCTCATGTCTGTTTGACTCAAGCACATTGCGGCAAGTTTGGCAAGCGTTGATCCTTTTTGAGGCATCTATGCCATTATGCTTTTGCTTTCGAGCAAGCTTGGCCTAGCTCGAACCTAGATTGAAGGAGGTGAAGTACTGGCTAAGTGAGAATCACAACATGCCATCTGCCTCAAGCACCGATGCATCAGGCGGATATCAATGAAAATGGTCAAGGAATTCAAGGTCAAATGACACACAACAAAGCCAAGCTATTGAACAAACTTGCACAAATACACTATCAACATATATATATATATCAAAATTCCATAATGAAGCAGCACTGCAAGGAAGCAAAGGAATGCCACACTTGAGTCAAGATGCACCCCCTTTCGTTAGCTGCAAGCCGCAGTAGCATTTCAGCCTGAAGCCTACCTATTGAAGCTTGCTGTTCATTTGCTGTCCCGCTTTTATTGGCGTGAGCTCTCACGATCTTGTTCTAAATTTGCCTTGGCCAAAGCGGTGGCCGTGACTGCCCAAGATCGCAAGGCTGCCATGGCGATCTTGTCGCCAATCGCAGGTGGCCTGGAGGCAAATGTCCGTGTGCCGCCTCAGATTCAAACACTAAACATAACGGTAGACAGGGTTTTGATAAAGTTTAAAAGACGAACTTTGGCAAAACTCTTGGATCAAGTATAAATCTCTAGTCTGTTGCGTGGCGGCTACTGTCTCGTTTGTCACGAACAGAGTCCAAAGGGCTCCAGTTGTTGCCCTCATCAATTGCCACAAGTACCCCCAACATTGACTGAGGCAAGCACTTGATCTCACAGTCGACGGGGACAGTGCCATTTCATCCGGAGGTGCATCCTTGTCCACCTGCACTCGTGGTCCATCCCACTGCGGCCTGTCGCTGCAACGCCTTACATGTTCACTTTCAGAGCGTGGTGCATCTCGTGGGTCGCGTCCATCTCTCCGTGCTGTGGCTGTCTTCGGCCGAGACTTCCGTAAAAAGGGTCGCTCACTCTCGCCTTCAAAACGTAGCCCACGGGGATTCACAGTGCACACATTGTTCACGCTACCATTCACATCTCCTCGGGGGGATGGAAGTTGTAAGGAGCTTTCGCTCTTCAGAGAATCCTGACAGCTGCATTCGCGCGTCAAAACATGGCAAGCTGCCAACATCCCTTTGCTAGTTCATCTGAATGTCATTGCATTGATAAGAAGTTGTCTACCACTACACCGAAGACCTGCCTGGGTCTCCAGTCTGCCCTGCAGTACACATGCGGCAGCCAGTTGAACCCGGGGATTTGTGAGATTGGACGTTGTTCCCATTGTTCCCATGCTGCGTCGATGCAGGCGATCCAGCCGGTCCTGGAAATCGTCACAATAGCAGCAAAATTCTGGAGTCTCTCCACACATGTCTATGAAGTGGCAAGAGTTTCCAAGAGCTTATCAAAGCACCACTTCAGTGGGAGTTGTTGAAGGCAAACAATGTGCGGTGTCAAAACAACCACCAGTTTTGCATCTCAGCATTCTCCGCTGAGAACGTGCAAAAAAGTAATAAGAAATGTGATAGCATGTGATAGCTCCTTCGATCCAAGATCGATCCGATCGGATCCGATCGGTCGATGTCCTTCGAGGAAACTGCCGATTCCAAAGGATCACTTCGGGTTTCCTTTTCTTGAAGGCGAGGCATGCAGCTCCCACCGCGGCGGCCTATGCAGAATAGGAACGAAGATCGAACACATAGGAAAACATCGAAAGACTTTGAGAAGAAAAACATGTTACAACAAACGAGGATCATCAAAAACGATTCTGTATGACAATACTTGTTCAAACAAATCAACAATTGGGAAGGTTTTCCCTGAGGAGAAAACCGGCCAAGTAGGTTGTTCCTCCGAAAGCCACAACCTACGCTCAAAGCGCAAGTTCAAGAAACGTTTCAAGGTTTGATGTCATCAAGTGACTTGCATCTTGGCAAGCACTCCCTTGGTCAGCACAGATAGCACAGCGTACTCAGCATGATCAAAATGGGAACCAACTCTCCGCGGCACCTTTTCAAGCGGACGGGGCACTTCTCGAGAATCCTGGAGTGGCGACCAATTGAACTAAAAATTCCACAAAAACATCAATTACTTTACTTCGAGTGATCCCCGCCATGACATTTCAATCATTTGTCTTGATGCCATAATGAGGATCATGTTGCCATGGTCGTGAGTATTGTAGTTCGCGATTTTGCGTGTGGGTCCGCGGGATGTGTGCTGTGGTTGTGTGTTGTGGTTGTGGTTGTGTGCTGTGGTTGTGGTTGTGTGCTGTGTTGCGGTTGTGGTTGTGTTTGTGATTGTGTGTTTGTGGCTGTGCGTTTGTGATTGTGTGTTTGTGGATGTGTTTCCGGTTGTGTTTGAGGCTGTGTGTTTGTGATTGTGTTTGTGATTGTGTTTGTGGTTGTGTTTGTGGTACTGGTAGTGGTTGTGATTGCGCGTTTGTAGTTGTAGTTGTGGTTGTGGCTGTGTCTTTGTGATTGTGTGTTTGTGGATGTGTTTGTGGTTGTGTGTTTGCGGTTGCGTGATTGCGGTTGTGGTAGTGGTTGTGTGCTGTGGCTGAGGTCCGGGAGGGAACACTTGGGCCTGGAGCTCGTGGGGAAACTTGGGTCTGGAGCTCGCGGTTGAGGTCTGGCAGGGAACACTGCGCGCGGATGGTCGTGGTTGAGGTCCGGCAGGGAACAGAGGTCCGGTGGGGAACACTTGGGTCGGGAGCTCGCGGTTGAACCCTCACCTGACAGGTGGGGAAAAAGGATAGAATAGGAACTTTAACACGTGAAGTTACTTTAGGATCGAGGAGTGGAAAGAAGGAGCGGAAACAAGAGGAATGAGACAAGATAAATGCATACGGACGATGAGCGCAAAAGTGAAAGAGTGTGTGCATGAGTGGGCTGGCAAGTGAGCGGAACCTCCCATCCCCTTAGAAGAGCTCCACACTGACAAATGGAGGGAAACGCAAGGTGTGTGAAGCAGCAAGAGGTCGCGCCTTTTCCATTCCTTGAGCCAACATGTTAGCAGTCCAAACCGTCCACTCTGGTTTTTTCATCAGCGATTTCTCCTCACTACTTTCTGTTGCGCTGCTCCTTTTTCGGGGGCATGTGGACGGACAAAGAATCGTTTCTGTGCTTCGTCTAGGGGAAATTCTCGACCATGTTTGAAATAGCCTGCCCGGCAGGACTTTCTCTATGACAGATCACCATCTTTGCAATAGTAGTGGTTAGGGCAATCCACATGAGGACGTAGGTCAGTGAGGTGGCTCTGCCTGCACCGAATACCCCCACGAGAGCAAGGCAAGAGCGACCAGCTCTCAAGGCTGGGATTGGAGCAGCGACGACGCTGCCAAGTGTCCGAAATCTGTGGTGAGCCGCAAGCTGTGGAGCATCTGGCAAGGCAGTGTTGACATCGCCAGTAGCTAGGCAGCTAGGAAATATGTGAGTTTAGCCAAGCTTTGCAAGATTTCCTGCCCTTGATAGACTGCAAAGGGTCGATTGAATACCCAAACCTCTTGCCTGAAAGAGACCTGTGGGAGTAGGTGGTCACTGTCTCCTTCTTTGCCTCAACTGAAGAGGATTCCAGAGAACGATCTTCGTTGCTTCTTCCGCCTGTTGCCAGTAGCCTTCGTCCAGCTCATGGCCGTATCGAGACTGACGCTTTTCTTGTCCTCGAACTGCTTATCCTTCGATCTCGTTCCACGTTTCTTGGGAGTCTTCCCTTATCGCACATGGAGCCAAAAAAATGGCTCTGCTACCATGAAACAGCAAAGGGCAGTGCCTTTTGTGCTCCTTAAGCCAACATGACAACATGTTAGCCGTCCAAACAGTTTACCCTGGTTCTTCATCAGGGGTTTCTCTGCAATTATATACTTACTACTTTTCAAGATTGAAACGTACAAAGCTTGCACATGCAATGGTAGATATGGGTGCACCTGTGAATATGGTGTAATCCACGACAGAGGGAGACAGGCAGAAACTCAAGGGGAGACCACAGCGGACCAACGCGCACCAGTAGAACCTCTCATCCCTTAGAGGTCGAGACAGGAAAATGTAGTGGAAACGCCAGGGGAGAAGACCAGCCGACCAGAGTTGAGGTCTCGACCTCTTCTAAGGCGATGGGAGGTTCTGCTTGGTGACGCTGCGTTTTGCTCGCTTAAGAGGAAGCTCACAGTCATCACCTCAACTGATATGCACTCACTCACATACAGTCACTCACGTACACTCACTCACTCACTCACTCGCTCGCTCGCTCGTTCGCTCATTCATGCACATTCATGCAGGTGAATTGACAAACTTCACTTGTGGTTTTGGATGTCAGGTTGTGGCGCCCAAGGGCATTTGCTCAAAGCAGAAAGTTCTCGACAGAAATCAACGAAGACATACAGCAGCATAGTCACAAACACCAAAAAATGCACGCGCTTATCATACCAACATACGCCAAACGTATCCATTTAGTCCATATACTCTGTATGTTTGTTATTGCTGTTTGCTTTGAGTGCTTCAGAGCATTTGAAACATGGCAACGTAGACTCTCAACGCGTAACAATGTAGACAATGTATACGTCATCACTTGATATTGTGTGTTGCAGGTGTGGTTGTGGTTCTTTTTTCGGGCACTGGCCAACCAAGGCAGAACCTCCCATCCCCTTGAGTTGGTGAGAGTTGAGCTGGTGTGAGACGAGTTAGTTGAGTTGGTGTGAACACCCAAAGCAAGAAATCCACACAAGATGTGGGGAAAAAAAGATTGTAAGGGCCTGTTGAATAAGGGCCCCTTTAAGGAGCCCTTATTAAAGAGGGCCCTTACCTTCCGTATTTCTCTTGTTTCTTTGAAGAAAAGCTGACAAACTCAAAGTTCCAAGAGTTCTGCTCAGTTGATGTCCTGAAGTGACACCCGCTCAGATTTATCGACCTTCTCCTTCATTTCTTCATTCTCTTTCCGTCCGAAGCTCTTCGCCCTGATGGGTCTTAACAGACTTCACCACGGCATGCTGGTCAACAATGCTTCCGAAGGCTATGTGGGAGGAAAGCTTGAAAGGAACAAAAATGAACAATGTTTCACAACGTGGGTGTCTAACTTGATCTCTTTTGGAAACACCTTCATGGTTTGAGTATGTCTGAGTCGGTCTCCATTTATCCTGATCCAGCCTTTGACGTGCGCCAGCTGAATGGGCCGACGGGGCCGCAGGAGCTGTGACGGGCACATTGCAGGGGGGCATGCGAAGTTGGAAAATGGGCAGCATGCGTAGAGCTTTGCACATCCTTCTTGCTTGGCACTTTGTTCCTTGAAAAATGTTCACAAAATAAGCAGGGAAAGCACTCAAGCAAAATAGTCGAGAGACAAGAGAGACAAAGTGCAAATTGAAGAATGACATGGAAAAGAAAACAGCAGTAAGAACCGCACAGGCAAGGGGACCCAGAAAATTAATGCAAACCAACCGCCAGAAACAGTGACAGAAAAGTAAACAAGCAACAAGCAATTGCAGAAAGCAAGGAAGAAAAGACAGCCAGAAGCTGCGAGCAAAAACATAAAATGGACAGCAAAGGAAACAAGCAAGAGCCGATCACTGAATAGAGTCGAGTATGAATGACCCAAAATAGAAAAACAACCCTACATGAGAGGCCTAATAATTTGGAGTACCTCAAAAGCTCTCCTGGCAAAAAAACAAATATATATATATATATATACGTTGTTGAGGGAGACAGCTGAAATGCATACAGTGTCGAACATAGGATGCACGTTTCTGTCACGTTGATACCTCAATTTAATGCAATTCTGAGACAGGGTTTGGTATCTTTTGGGAGGCAACTAGACAGATTCAAAAGATTGGGGATTTGATAGCAGTTCATGCACAAGAGAAAGTGTCCCAACCACGAACCCGAAGGCGCTTGCTCTTAAAGCATATTAAAGTGTGAAGTTCTCTGCTTACCTCCGATCTATCTCCGATATTTTTCGAACTTCCTCTTTGTTGGCCTTCTGTCCTTTTCTTGCGGCTGGGCATCAACCTCTTTGTCCTCCGTGAAGCTTTCCGCTTGGACAAACTCCGATGATTTGGCTTCCTGGCCGTGGGGTTAGGCCGTAGTAAGCTTAAGCGGCTACAGTAAGAGGCAAGCACTAAGACTAAGCTTAAGAAGCTACTACCTAATCTACCTAGGACGCGAAGGGTTCAGGCTCAATGATTTGGTTCGTAGCTAGATTCTTGGGGTCTCATAGTGAGTGACAAGACCCGTGCATTCAAACTACCTCACACCAGCTTCCATCGTGGTAATGCATGAAGTATTGCATCTGGTGCGTTCCGTGTACTCGATTCATGAGCAATGTGACGCCCTGCAGATTGGCTTCGCTCTGCTGCAACAAAACATGGGTCTAAACACTACTGCCTGTCAAACCGATACCTTATTAATCCTTCCTATGTAATGTATTCCACGTCTGTCTTCTCTCCTGCTCAGAAGCTTTTCCTCCACTTGTCTTAGCTCTGAAAGCTCCTCATACCCACAGAATAGAACTGAATAGGATGGCAGGACGTCCGACATCCAAATAGCATACCATTACATATCGATTATGTCACTCCATTGTACTCGATACATCTCAACAAGCCTAAACAGTTGGCCATCACACGCCTAAAAACAGGTTGCCAACCTCAGCCCCATGTCGTTGCGATTCCTGACCTATCTTTGCTGAGTTCAACACTAAATTGTCATCTGAGGGATCACTGTCGCTTCCTCCTCCAAAAACGGTCAAGCTCCATATATTCCGACAACATTGTTAGTTGCTGATAGATGCGTGCAGGCGTTGAATATTGTAGGAACGCTCTGCTGCAATGCAGTACTGTTCAATGCTTGCTGCAGCATTCATGCAAATCCTGTGTCAGACTCATCACCATCGGGAACATCAAGCTCATCGACAAGGTCCGACACGTTGATGTTGAGGAACTTGAGAGAACCCTGACTGGGGAAACTTAAATAAACATCTGAAACACAAAGCATCTGTTTACATCTTTTCTTTCTCAGATCTGTCTTGTGAAGGACGTGAGGTGCTGAGCCACCATACGAATCTCGCACAATATGGCCGGCGCACATTCAGACATCCAAGAACCCAAGCCTCACTCTGAAAATTTGGTCTGAGGGAATCCTGCACGCAGGGTTGAAATCAGACGGAAAAAAGAAAAGGGCTACAAAAGAGATCGAGAAGTCGTCACTGCACTGCAGTCGTCTTGGGTCCTTGAGAGTCTCCGATGTGTCTTCTTCAAACCTGAGAGGGGGCATCAACATATGCGTCCTTCCTCAGAGTTGTCCTCTTCATTGGATCAGGGCTATCAGGACGATCAAGGCTCTCACGGCAAATCCTTTGTTTTTTTCATTGTCAGAGCCCACATCCTCAGAATCAGAAGTCTGTTCATTTGAGATCTTAAGCAGCACTAAGCAGAACCTTGTGACTTTGTCACACTCCAACCTTGCTTTCACTCAGGATCTGTCACTCCCACTGGAGGTCGAATCAGAATTGCATGGTGATGCGCTGGAGGCCCGAAGCGCAGCCTGAAACTTTGAATAATCTAAAGGATCAACATGCAGAAAATAAGGTGTAGTAACAAGTGCATGGCTACTAGTAACAAGTGCATTACTGCCAGTAACACATTTGCACGTGTTACTGGTAGCAGTTGTTACTAGTAGCGGTACACTTGCCAGACTCACAGACTTCACCGAGTCTTTGGCTGACTCCTCGGCTATCAGCTCCTGAACAGTGCACTGAATGTACTGATTGAATTGACGCAGGTTATGCGAATATCTGCTGCCAGCATTTGTTGCATCATTCGCTCCAATACCTGAGAGCTCTATTAGCACCATAATCCTCACTTCAAGAAAAGCAAATGTGACCACAGCAAGCCACCCGAGGTACTTGGGGGATGTTGTTTAAGAGGGTTTTGCAGCACACTTGCTTGCCACTCCGGCCGCACATGCCATGTGGGTGATTGACTTGTTTACAGGTGCCCGGCAACTGAGCCGCAACGGGCGAACCCGGCGAACTGCGGACCACAAGAACCTCACAAACAACAAGAACCGCAAGAACGGTGAAAACCATGCGAGCCATGCAAACCACAGGAGGTGTGAGAGCAACGCAAACCCAGCACCCACCAACCCCGCGCAGTGAGAAACACGAGAACCAAAGGAACCACAACCACCTCACTATGAACCACAAGGCCCACAAGAACGGACCTCGACACTCACGGGTGACAGACCAGCACAAAACAGTCGAAGCCATGGGGCTCTCCATCAATCAGAATCACATTTGGTAGAGGCTCTAATTCAGGGCTCGAGATGGCCTGTAGTTAGTTCAGGGAAGCTCAGGGCCCCAGTTGGCAATGTCTCACCTCACTCACGTCCGTTATGGCATGGAGTTGGTGATTTGGCACTGGTGATCATTGCACTTTGCCCAAAAGATTCAGGATAGTCTCCACCAGACCATGGAGGAGCATCTTCGGGTGTGTGGGCGGGCCAGATCTTTGTGGTTGCTGGGCATGCTGTGAGCAATCCCCGGTAGTGACTATGATGGCTGTTGCGACAGAAACGCACCAAAGCTCAAGCTAGCTGGTGCTTTACCACAGCAGGAGGAGTCCATCTTTGTGTTGTGGAGCAACCATGGAGGAGCAGAAGGGCTCCGTGACTCTTTGTATACATAACTTATGTTAACCTGAGCTGGCTCCTTCTGAAGCGGCAGAGTGCACACTTCGATGGTCTCCAAGTTTTCCTCCGACTGTGACAGTGAAGGAGAGCTATGCTTTGCTGGCGCTTTTCTTTGGCAGCTTTGCTTGGCAAGACCCATCGTTCAAACATTTGGCCAAGTCGCCTGCTTTGTCAGGAACGTTTGACACATTTGGATGGGTTCCTCGGTCTGAAGTGCCTTAAGGACGCATCCAAAAGTTTGTGCTGGGCTTGGCGGGCGCGCCTTCTGCACACCAAAGAATAACTCCTAATCATATAGTTGCATTATTGCATGCCGCTAGTGGCAAGGAGAACTCTGGTAGCCGAAGCATGCTGAAGCTGTCTTGGTCTTAGAGTCTTCCAGGTTTGGGTTGATCTCCTTCTCGGACATCAGTGCAGGCCAAGGCCCTCCTTTACCACCTTGGGCACAAGAAATATTTTGCGCAATGACCAGTATGAAGCTCACATGCTTGCGCATTGATCCGCATCCGCATCCGCCATTTGTTCCAGTCGAGGGCGAGGCCATCCCAGGCGCGAGAATTGCGTAAACGCGCTTGAACCTTAAAACCCCACCGTCGTTGATGCCACCGTCGTTAGATGTTTTGAGTGAACACACCATTTACCAAGTCCCGAAAAGGATGGCAGTTTCGTGCATTCTCTGTGACTTTGTGGCACTTTGTGAATCAAATCATTGAGTCATAGCATAAACCTGTTCAGGGCCTTCAGGGTGAACCTGTCAGGATCCTTCCAGCAAAGTGATCAGAAATGAAGCAAACCTATGACCTTGTGTTTGGCAAGGTGTAAAACAATGTGATATAAGATGATTATCGAGTTTCAGAATCTATAGTCTGATGATTACATAAACTGCTTTTCTCTTTGTCCTTTCTCAGCTTTTCTCTGCGGCGCCGGGCCATGGGACCAAGGCTGTGCTGGACGATCAAAGCACGTGCCAAGTTGGCGCCCATGACTTGCAGCTTGCTCGGAGAAAAAGGTATCACGGTCCTGAACTATGATATTAAAGGCAAAAACAAGAAATAGCCTTGCATGCTTTTGGTGCAAAAACAAGAAAACATATGTTTTACTGAGAGCATGTTGACAATCTAAACTGGCCAAGACTCGTCACCTCCTGGCACCAAAATGAGGTGAGAATAGTTATATCATATATACATAAAGTGACCCAAACAAGCTACAAGAGTGCTGCAAGAGTGCTACAGTACAAGAGCTCTATCAGTGCAAATCCCTTGAAGTCTCACCAAGAGGAGTGTTAGATTGGTCCATTGGCCTCTTCCATCTCTGCATCACTGCTCGCCTGCTCACGTGCAACATGAAACTGTCAACTCAAGGACAAAGCGCAAAGGAAACGTCTAGCTCATGATGTGCATGAGATTCATGTCCACTGGATGTAGCTTCTGCAAAACAAAAATAAATATTCCGAAGTTCTTCCCTCAATTGTTGGTGCAAGTGCACATGCGCACGCCTTTGATGCAACTGGTCCAACATCTACTGCGCCCCACATAGAGACCTTCACTACAACCCACGCAGCACATATTCTCAAGATCAATTGCTCAGCCTTGGTGTCACCTTGCTTTCCGAAAGAAGGACACTCTATCAGTCGTCAAACAATTGGGGATCTCTGCAAAAGTCAAGTTTGCTGGTAGGACTGGTAGGATAGATAATGTGTCAAATCAGTACTGTAAACAAGTGATGCTGTAGCCGTACCAATGATACAGGGCGCCAATGGACACCATGGACATGGGCTCTTCAGAAATAATCGCAAAAGCGAATCAATGATCCGTTGAAGCATCCAAATCTGAACAATTGCCTCTATGGTGTAGGCATTGGTGATCCCAAGGTCCTAGCTGCATGTGGTCAGTAGATGCACGTGGGGCTACTAGTAGCAGAGGCTGCTCAGAGGTATAGTATACTGGTATTGGAATCGTATTAGTCTCCCGTAGCCTGGCTCGTCTAGAAAGTGTCCAGTTTTGCAACGGTCGCATGGCACTGGAAAGCTGTACAAAGATCTTTCCGCTCCTTTGCCGTCACCACTCGGCCAGTACCTCGCTTTCCTTTGCCAACCTCAGGGTTTCGTGAAGGACAGTGGAGTCATGGAGTCATTGGATGACTTTTGAGTGCATAGACGAAGTCTTTTTGGAGCTATTGGCACAACATGGGTCGCTACCACTATACGATTGCAGCGTCCTCAGGATGGTCTTTGGCCAAATCGGTAAGCTCAAAGATGCCACCCAATGGAACGTGATCACTGAAGTGCCATTGGGCGGGAATTGAGTGCTCTATGGTTGCTTGCTGCTGCTCAGGAGTGAAGGGTGCTCGGATTGCCACTGGGCGCAAAGCTCTGGGAGTGTAAAACCTCGCTGGCAAACTGGAAGAAACCCCAACAAGAGTTCCCCATTAATCTGGCAAGAGACCCCAAACAGTGTTTCGAGTCTTGAGGTCTAGAGGTCCTAGGTCTAGAGGTGTAGAAGCAGAAGGTCTAGAGATCTAGACGTATTGGGTTCTAGAGAAGTCTAGGGGTCCAGAGGTCTAGAGGTCTTGAGATCCAGAGAGGTCTTGAGATCCGGAAAAGAGATCTAGAGGTCTAGAAAGATCTAAAAGCTTAGGCTTAGACATCCAAAGAGATCTAGAGGTCAGAGTTCTAGAGGTCTAGAGATCCAGAGGCGTAGAGGTCTGGAACTCTAAGGATTCAGAGGTCTAGAGGTCTTGAGATCCAGACATCTAGAGCTGGATGTCTAGAGCTGGAGATCTAAAAAACTAGAGTTCTTGAGGTCTTGAGGTCCAGAGATATAATAAAGCCTCTAAGTTTCTAGAGATCTACGGCGATCTTGAGGTCCAAAGCGCTAGAGGTCTAGAGATCCAGAGGTCTCGGTCTTGGAGTTTTTGGCTGTCTAGAGGTCTGGAGAGCACACATATGGGTGCACATTTGCTGCGCCTGCCTAAGCTCACAAAATTATGCGCCTGCCACGAAGTCGGCACTTCGGGGTTCATAAAGCGCTGCGCCTACCACGAAAACTGCACATTCATCAAGATTCACATTGCGCAGCCTTGCGTCGGCGCGAGCGCCTGGAAAGTGGAAATCAAGATGCTCCGATGAAAACAAGCCAAGGAACATAGAAGCTACTAGGGGCTCCTGACCTTACTAGGAGCAAGGACGCTACCAGGGGCTCCTGGCATCGCTACTAGGAGCAAGTAGCTACTAGTAGTAACAAGGCACATGTCCAAACGTCACGGTTCACACATGCCACGAAATCCGCGCCGAAGACCGCCATATCCAAAGGGCTGCACCTGCCACGAAGTCGCATCGAAGTAAAACTGATCCGACCTCCCTGGCGCCAAACGAAAAGTGACATGTGACCAAGCCCGAAAATGCGCACGGTGCCACAACGAGAGCGCAGTCGAGGAATGCACCCCCTTCGGGCCCACCAGACTGCAAGGTGCCGTCGAAATGTACTTCGACGATTTTGAGGTGAACAAATGTACTGATGTACTGTTAGTAGCTTCTTGCTCCTAGTAGCGATGGCCTCCAACCTAATTACTTGCGATGGCATCAACCCAAAAGCGTCCTTGCTACTAATAACAGCGAATTAGCCGGACACGCCGATGGAGCACCTCGATCCGACACCCGGCCTTAAATCTTACTGTAAGAACCCCTAGGTGACCACACTGTTTGGGGAAAAATCAAAGTGACCTGAAAGTGTTCTTCAAATATCAAAGCATAAATATTTTCAGCTGTAGATGATTGATCTGCTGACGCTTTGGCATCTTTAGCTAGCATACTGAATTCAGGAGGCATGAAGTCAATTGCACGGAGCTTGGTCTCAGTCCCGCGGGTGGGCGGCGCTCCAAAGGTGGGTGGTCGTGCTTCAAAGCGCTCTGAATATAAATCAGCTAGGCCGAAGCCATGATCCACCAGTTCCTCAAAGTCCTGACATCGCAAAGCAAAATCTAAAAATCAAAATATCCAGAAACGTCAAAAAGCACGTTCGATATGCGGACATGAAGGTCTAGACGCCTCTAAGTACTCTATACACATATGTATATATATAGAGAGAGATGCCTCTAGACAATTGGAAAAGCAAAATTAAAGCTTCGACCCGCCGGTCGGCGTCTCATGCGTTCCGTCTGTCCTTGTCATCCTTGTCTCTCTTTGAAGCCAATGACCTTACGACAGGACCGCTGTCATCCTCATTGAAATCTCCAGCGAAAATCACAGCCTGGGAAGTTCCAGCATGTTCAAACATGTTCCGCAACTAGAGGCAAATCCCAATGAAGGAGACACACAGCTTTGAGAATCACAAGAGCGCATTGGCACTGGGCCGAGCTGAAGTTTCATGTCTATTTCATTGTTTGCACAAAGGCAAGACAAACCAAGCTTCCAGTACCATGCGTTCAATTCAAAGGGTCAACCCTCAGCCTGTCATGCCAAAGTTACACAAGTAGTGGGGTCAAGGCCCCGCTGCTTTTGATCCTTCTGAATTGACTGTAAAGCATTCCTGCAGCATCCAGCAAAACGCAAAACAGGAAGCAGGGCTGTAGAACAAGCTCCATCAAACGCGACAAGCTCAAGAAGTTCACACCACAAGATGACATCTTGAAGACTTCCATAAACCAAAAGTGGCTTGTGAAAGGATCTGAAAGGTAATAGATTTACAAAGGAAATGTAGTGTTCAGATTCAAAGCCGGCAACACAGCTCCTCAGCTGAGTCAGCCGTGTCTTGCCTTCACTGGGTGCACCTTCCAAATGGCAGCTCGCAAAGTAGATCACCTGCATCTGACAAGGCTACTCAGGCAACCTGTGACTTGGAAGGACCAGCCTGATCATAGCACTTCAAAGCGCACAGCACAACTCGGGAACGATGCTCTTGCCAAATGTGTTCAAACTTCTCCGTCTTGAAGAAAATCGCGCATTTGGCGAGCTCAGGGATCTTGCCCTGCGCTCGAAGCAACGTGTCCTCTGAATATACCTGACCATCTTCAGTTCATAATTAGGTTGGAGACCATCGCTAGTAGATTGGATGTCATCGCTAGTAGGCCATCGCTAGAAGATTGGAGGCCATCGCTAGAAGATTGGAGGTCATCGCTGGTAGGTTGGGGGTCATCGCTAGTAGGTTGGGGGTCATCGCTAGTAGATTGGGGGTCATCGCTAGTAGGTTCGAGGCCATCGCTAGTAGATTGGGGGTCATCGCTAGGAAGCCTTTGCTAGTAGGTTGGAGGTCGTTGCTAGTAGGTTGGGTGTCATCGCTAGTAGGTTCGAGGCCATCGCTAGTAGATTGAGGGTCATCGCTAGGAAGCCTTTGCTAGTAGGTTGGAGGTCGTTGCTAGTAGGTTGGGTGTCATCGCTAGTAGGTTGGGGGTCATCGCTAGTAGGTTGAAGGTCGTCGCTAGTAGGTTGGAGGCCTTTGCTAGCAGGTTGGAGGTCATCGCTAGTAGGTTGGAGGCCATCGCTAATAGATTGGGGGTCATCGCTAGTACGTTGGAGGCCTTTGCTAGTAGGTTGGAGGTCGTCGCTAGTAGGTTCGAGGCCTCTGCTAGCAGGTTGAAGGTCATCACTAGCAGGTTGGAGGCCATCGCTAGTAGATTGGGGTTCATCGCTAGTAGGTTGGAGGCCATCGCTAGTAGATTGGGGGTCATCGCTAGTAGGTTGGAGGCCTTTGCTAGTAGGTTGGAGGTCATCGCTAGTAGGTTGGAGGCCATCGCTAGTAGGTTGGGGGTCATCGCTAGTAGGTTGGAGGCCATCGCTAGTAGATTGGGGGTCATCGCTAGTAGGTTGGAGGCC